CTAGATATCGACAAACGATAAATCGCGAAGTCCCTTAAGTTTATTGAAAACTGTTTGGTTACTTATATATATATTGTTTGTAAAGTGATCGCTTGTGAATGCATATCAGGGAAATTTTTTGTTCAGATCATACATGTAATACCCAAGTTAATTATGCTTTTCTTAAACCTTTTCAGACTTATGGAAAAACATACGCGTACACGTGTACGCAGATGGAACTCACTGGAGGTAATAGAGGACTATTCATCTGAATTATCTGTACATTTTTAATCTGATTTTTGTTTAATAAAAAATTTTTCAGTGAATCTGTATTCCTTCTGTTGTAATGCGATTGTGTTCCGGAACATAAGTAACACGTGCTAAGTTAGGAGTTGAGGGTAAACTGTTAGGAGTAAATGCGGCGTCTGGAAAACTTTTGTTTATGTGATTATATGAGTAGATAGCAACGTATCGTTTCCCATGGCTGAAAACCCTAGGCATTCTATTTTTAATTATTACGATAACCGTAGTTGCACTGAGTTATACATCTAACAGCATAGGTATAGTCTCTCCTTATGGTACATTGCGACATGCAGAAATCACAAGCAGACTATCTCAGGTAGATTTATTTTCACTTTGTGACTATGAATCGCAAATCAGTATATGTATTCTGCTAACACGATAGATAACTCGAAACACTTTATAATCGCAATACCTCCTCTATAATTTAGACATATTTACTTTATATGACTACAACATAACCTTTTACCAATAGGCTTCTCCGAATATATGCTCCTCCGAAGATAGCCTCATATACTCTACACCTCACAATTTACGCAAGGGCTAATATTCGGTCTTATCAAGTAAAATAAACAAACGAATAACGAGGAATACATTTATTAATGAATTAACATGTAATAGAAAATTGACAACAGTGCAGGCATCTTTTTCTTTATCACCCAAATCCGTGAAACTCTCGAAAGTAGATATCATCTGAAAAAGAACATAAGAATTATACAGATGTAGACATTGTTACCAGTGTAAACACAATAATTAACCGTTAAATATGTTTAAAATGACGAAATAATTAGTTGAATTGTACATAATTATGTCAATCAACATTTTTCAATAATACAAAGTCGATATTGCATCTGCCTGCTAACATCAAGTTTATGCCATCAAATTAGGAAATACTATGCATATATTTTTTAAGTATTTCTGCAGATTTTTCTTAAAGAAATACATGTGGAGGAGCCTTGTCAGCATTTAGGCAAAGTACACAACAAAGTAAATGAAATAATTACCAAAACGAGCCATCCCACTGCATCATGTCCATATGTAATCCATTAAACTGCAAAGAAAAATCACAAAAAGTCGTTGTAACATGTGTCTTCAAGTATTTCGACATTTTCTGAACGGAAAAGTACGTTTTTTTCAACAAACTGTAAACTGCCTGTAACCTACGTCCGGATAAGGACAACACCATATGCTCTTTCTGCTGAATAGGCCGCATTTCATCAACTTTTAGCACGAATATAAGTAAAATGTGTGAAAAACAACGAAAAATGACCTAACCTTGACGTTTTTCCAATAAATAACGCCAATATCCATCGGCTAATCAAATGACATACGTCCGTCTACAGGCTGCCGATGAGACGATGACTGGTGTATCGATGTCTCCGCGAAAGTACAGGGAAGCTAGGTTTGAGCAAACAACCATGAATTGATCGTTCAATCTTCAACTACATTGACAATGTTTCTTGTTCCAGTCTCCTGATTGCTCTGTTTATTTATTCATCTCTTCGTTGTTTTATTTAATTATTCACCTTTCTGCAGCTATCTGTCATTCACAGTCCTAACATCCTTTCATTCTTTTTGAAAAAGAAGTTTGAATAACTAGCGAAAGTGTCATCATGAAACACATTGGTCTCACAGTTACAATGCAAATGGCAAACTACCGATCAAATATGACCAATCATTCACTCACGACGTTGTCTGGGAAGACTTCGGCAAGGGAGTTATTACACCAAATTGAAACCGTTGCCTAAAAACATGGAAACAGGTCCGAAGGAGTAAGTCTGGAACGCTAACCGTTGCAACCAATATGCTGTGAGTGTGTCGCAGTCAGATCACATGGCGCGGACACTAAAATTACTAGCCAGGAAATGAGAATTCCCATCAGTCCAGATAACATGTACCACAATTTTATCAAAACTTATTGACAAAAAAGTTTCAAAACGAAATTTCAAACGAACGTGACACATAAGTCCAGTCAGTTTGATCTATGGCTACTCAGGAATAAGATAAAGGAACTGGATGACTGAATATTGAATGTATGTAGAGCGTTCAAATTTATGCGCTACTCAAGGTTAAATAGAGTATAATTATATTTCAGTAGTTTACACACACAAGGTGAGGAAAATAAAGAGCTTTCGACTTCAACTAGTATTTTTTGGCTACTCAGCTTCACAGCAATCACGTGGTAGATCAACACCTCTTGTTTATCTGAAAGAGTGAGGAAGATGCTGCTACAGATGTAGCACCCGAAATTTTCGGAGTAGTTACAGATGGCTGGACTTACCACACAGAGATTTGATATGGAAGTAATAGTGGAATTTAATTCACCAGCCAGGAAGATCGGGTTTCCTAAGCGGATATTTCACAAAATAGGTATTCTGCGGTTTGAGAGGAAAAGCACACCTTATTCTAAGTTTTCTTTCTGACGTGTGACTATGATACTTCTTAGTTTTGTATTGGAGCATCAAGAATAAGTTAACCCTATTCTGTGCGTGTAATTATCTAGTGTTCCAACTCTATAGTGAAATTATTCCTAAACTAACCATAATCTTATTCGAAGCCACCCTAATGTCGCCGTCATTAGGTTAACCTATCTCTAACCTGTCCTAAGCCTAAACGGTAAGGTAATCTTTTGTATACCTGACGTAAAACTTGCCACGTATCGTATCTGATAAGAACACTTCATTATTTATATTTTAGTCATTATTACAATTTTATTTACTAGGTTTCACTTACTTGCCCACTGAGCGTTTCAAGGAAATTCTTGCGATCTTACTCCACCGATACTCACTGGTGCTGAAGGTTTAACTTCACCCCTAATTTAACGACCATCCGTGCAACACAAGATATGTTCTGTTTTAAACACTGAAGATGTCATCCACATATCTCCACCATATTTTGGAGTAGGATTCAATGTATTTAGAGCAATATTTTCCCAGCTGTCCATAAAGATATCTGCTATGATAGGGGATATTGGTGATCCCATTGCTACACTTTCTGTTTGTCTATATATTTTGCCTTGAAATTTAAAGATAGATGTCAGGCATAACTGAATTCCTAAAATGATTTCCTCAATGGACAGCTTCGTTCCATCAATAAAGTCTGCAGCTATTTTAACTACTTATAGGGCCATATTGATTGATACATCAGTATAAAGACTAGTTATATCAAAATTAACCATTGTTTCATCATTCTCTAGCTGAATGTCATTTAGTTTCTTTTTGATCTCACTTGAATTAGTTAGTCTAGAGTTTGGACGGTTTCTAATGGGACATAATATTAGAGCTAAGTGTTTTGATAATTCATAAGTGAGGGTATTCTTGAAGTCTACTATTGGTCGTATGGGGTAACCTGGCTTACGTATTTTGATAGTACCATACATTCTACTAGCATTACTTAATTTAGGCATTAAATTAAACCATTTGGACTCACCCAGTGACGGCTTCATTCCGCGTAGTAGATCCGCTGTAGATTTTTTTAACCTTATTCGTTATTGTATCCACAGGCTTCTTAATTTCCTCATATGGACGCGTCTCAATAAGTTCAGTGACTTTCTTGATATAGTCAGATATATCCAAAACTACTGTAGAGTTTCCTTTATCAGCTATTGGGATGACGATGTTTTTATCCTGCTTTAGACTAATTAGAGCTTGTCTTTCCGATTTTGTTAAGTTTGATTTTGCTTTCTTTTGATTTTTCAGGGTTAACGCACACTGTGCTCGAACCTCTTCTGCTGTCGTCTAATCTATTGAACTTAGTGCCACTTCTATGTTAGTAATAACATCCTCTGGTTTTAATTAACTAACTGTCGCGTTGAAATGTAGTCCTTTCTCAAGTACTTGCATCTCATTGGAGCTTAGCTCTCTTGACGGGAGGATCATCTCCCATTTTGTTCTATCAATAGAGGATGAAACGTTGGCTTCAGATTCTCCATTTCCTATGTTCTTTTCGTCTATCAGTTTGTTGAATTTTTAATTTGTCTGGCTTTTAATTTTCTGAATGCTAATTTTATCTAGCTTTTTTGGATGTTTCAACAACAATTACGTAATATTTGTCATTGACCATACATTTGATTTCGTGTTTGAGTTTTTCAATTTCATTTCGTATATTATTTGGTTTCACAGTAATTCGATGTAGTTCTCTCAGACATAATCTACTGACATATTCGGCTGCTGATGTTATTTTCCTTGAAGTAATTAGAGTACGTAGGCGTAAATATTTCGGGATTATATGATTTTTTAAACGTCGACTGTTAAAATTCCGATGGTTTGTGAATCTTGCTTCTGTTTGACAAAGTCGTGTTAGCTAGTTGATAAGCTTCCTAGTAGGGAGACCATGTAACATTGATATAGGAATAAATCTTGTGCACTGTGGCAGAGTATAATTCCTTTGTGAGCAAAATTTTTTTGATGAAGTCTCACAGTGTTATACACCGTGATACGATTATGAGCAGCAATAAATTGTGCTTGAAATGTCGTCATCAGTAAATGTAGCTGTATAATAAAGCAGGAATTAGAGTGGCATTTGAACTTACAAACTCAGTCAGGGACAAACTGTAGGTTGAAGAACCCAGTTAATCCAATTAGACAAAATAATATAATTTACAAAATTCCTTAAAATGACTGTGAGGTCAACTACATAGGTCAAACTAGTAGGTCGGGGCTAGTCAGATTGTCGGAACATAAGAATTTAGCTGGGGTAAGAATGGTTGAGCCAGAGAAGATAAGTAATTTAGAAAAAAGCTCAGCGATCGCACTGCATGCATTAACACACAACCACCCATTAGGGTGGGATAGGGTTAGAATTCTAAGAAGTAAAATAGGTAGGTGAAGAGAAAGGTTTATTACTGAATCCTTGTTCATCGGATCTACACCCAACACATGCAACAAGAATGACTCATCACTCATATCGGAAATATGGAAAATACTACTGCCAATCAAGTCAGGCGATGAAAAATAATGGAATTACGTAAACGAAGGTAGAAAGTTGTGTGAATACCTTGATATGATTATGAGCAATAAATTCTGCTCGAAACATCATCAGTAAATATTCCTGCATAACACTGTGAGATTTTATCAAATTAGGCTTTACCTATATTAGATTTATGTTGTTTTATGATTGACCGGTTCTATGCTTTTATCTTGGAGAAGTAGACTGACTCGGTGGCTTATTGAAGGTTGCTAAAAGGGTGTTTGACCGCGTTGTTGGACAGTGTTATTCGTGAGTGAAGATGAATGTATCTTGAAAAAAGGAATTTCTAACAGGTGATCTATCCCATTCTTTATTAGAAACCGATGACGGTTAGACATTTATAAGATATAACTTTTTACAAGTTAACCTATGAAAAATATAACCCTGTAAAATGCTAATTTTATGAAACTTCCTACGATTTAACTACTTTCCCAGATAAATTCCAACGACCCATGATGTGTTTGTTTCAAAAGCTGGTTCTAAATTCATGATGGATTTTTTTCACCTGGATAAAGTCCGGTGTTCAACTCAATCAGATCACTGTTACGCATTTGTGAACAAAGGTGTAGGTGATGAGGATGAAAAAATATTTAACTTGTCACCATATCACTCACAGTACTTTCTCATAACTATTTCTTCAGTAATATTCTGAATTCTAGAGAAGAAAGTTTTTTAGACGTCGGTGGGCCTAGTACTGCAGAGTCCATTGGAGAAAATCTGTTTCAAAATATTCTTCATGATGCATACACTTCTGAACCAGAGTTAAATGAAAACATTCATCTTGATCAACCTAAAGGTTTGTTACGTAATATTTATCTTAGCATTACTTAAAATTATAGATGTTTGTCATACATGGGTTCCGTGTGAAAAGAAGCAACTATTAAAAATCATATCATCCTTAAGAAAAATTATAAGAGTTGAACACTTTTATAGTTCTCAGGTTTGTTTCATTTAAACTATTGCTTTTATTAGTTTCAGTCTTCAGACAATGAGCGTTTACAGTGTCAGAAGGAGCTTTGTGTTAATCGAGCTGCCAATAACTTGCGTAGAATTTTAGCCGAACTTTCTTGGGTATGTTATTTGGTTAAATTCTTCTACTTTTGTTCCGATTTGGTTGGTTGATAATTGGGTGGTAATGAAGCATACTTTTACGTTGCATTATTTTACAAAAAGCATGTCTAAAAGGGATGCTGTCCCATTGTAACAGTACTGTAATATATCACTGGAACGAAATCGTCATGCTACTCATTCGTGATCATAGTGAGGAGGTCTACCATAAATACACTGGTAATCTACTCGGTAATTTCCTATAGACGAAGGACTTGGGAGCTCTTGTGCGTCGATGGCACAGCGGTTAGGACTCTCGCCAACCATGGACATGGTCCGGGATTCGATCCCCTGCTGACGCACGCCTGATATCTATGGTTGGCTTGCGAAATTCAGGCTACCGATATCACATGCTGAAAATTCCATACTTGTACCAAAAATACGGTGTGGCATCAAGCTGTAATCAAAATAAAAAAAATTATTCGGAACACAGATGTGAATTTTCTGTGTATTGATCTAGTTGACCTTTGTGCTTTTCAGTCGCCTGGTAGTGTAAGGGACGAAATGTTCCATCTATTCTCAAAATCTATATAAGACACTTAGAGTTAAGGTAGTAATCCTTTCTTAAAAAAGATAAAATTTGGTGAGAACAACTATAGTGTTTAATTTCTAAACATAGCCCTTATATTGTATGAGCGCCTGTCGGTATAAACTAACAGCCTTCTGTGTTGCTCAAAAACAGGCCGCCAACACCCAATTTAGAGTGTTAAACTAATACAAATACATATTGGGAGTATATTAAGCAATCTAACCAATTAACTAAGGCAGACAACCACTATTTCTTCATTTTGTTTCCAATGTCCATCATTATGGAGAACTAAAATAGATGTTTTTGAACTACCAAATTGAAATTAACGATAAGTTGACTAATGTGGTCATGTATGTTGTGAAGAGACATTGTATAATATAACATCACTGTTTTGCGAGTTAGCACGAGTGAATTCTTCAAAATCTGTAGACATATATTGCAGGTTATTTATTTTCTTTGTGCAGTTAACCTTTCTGTTTTTTATACTGTTTACTCCGTAATCAATATTTTACTCCTTATCTTACTGCGTTATTGCGTGTTTGGTTACTGTTTTGGAGATGTGGTTCATTGGTCTCGACGTTTGACTTCTATCCAGTGAGCCACAAGTTCCATTCCTGTCCCATGTACTAAAGTTTGGGCAGCCTTTGGTAGTATCACTAGCCCTCTCACAATAAGTATGGCTCATTGTGAGCTCAACGGAATTGCAAGTTGTTGTTGAGTGGTATTGAGTTGATTAATTATTTCGTTAGTGTGGCTTTCAATACCACAATCTTTCTTCTTTTCTGGCCTCATTACTCGTCAGTAAAGTGGGTGTGGTTCAAGAGTGCTTCACTAGCCGGGAATTGAACCCGGATCAGTAGGCTGATTGATTGGTGAAAATTTTACTATTGAGCCAACAACACTTATTACAGAGTATGCTTCTAATTTATTCAGCAGAAGTGCATCCTAGTTGGGCACCTCAGTAGATATTTAAACTAGAGGACGTGGCACCTACTTAATAGTTTCCTGAGATGTGGTTTTGAAAGGTGTTCGATGTATACGGCCAATATAACTGACTTCACAGGAGCTTTGAATAATATCATTCAGTGAGTGAGTAAATCAAAGCTGCCTCAAAAATTTAAAGGAACTTATCTCTGTCATAAAAACCATGATTTTTAGAAAATATTTCATTCAGCGAGTGGAAAGATTTAACCTCAGTAGGTTGCATTATTATTGATAACGAGGTTTTTTCTTTCTACAATAATATTTTACCTTGTCAAGTATTAAGCGTCTCATTCTTTCAAAGTTTTATCTTATTTCTTTATTTGCATTAGCATGTCGAAAAATGTTTCAGCCTTCATTTGTGGTGTGTCAAAAATCTTCCCCAAAAACTTTTATCACTCTACGGCTTAGTTTATTCTTTATTATGGCAAAAAAGCAAGGCAAGTAATTCTAGTTTTGTTTTTATTTTTGTTAAGATGAAATCTGATATTTATCTAGCCTTGTTTTTATCAGTGTAAATGTTGCGTAAGTTTACGTAAAAGAAACTGAAATAATAAAAAAAGAATTATTGCATTGAAATGCAAACAGTATTAATGTTTTGTGATAGCTAGGCCTCTGTAATAGCATTAAAAAAGGCCAATATTGAGGCTACATACTACTGATTGATTGAAAATAAGCAGTTTGTAAAAGTTCTATATACACCTAACATGGCGTAGGGCTCTTTGTATCATGGTCAGAATTCTGAAAACACGATTTCAGGTAAAAGTGTATGCACACAACAACATTATATTAATCTTTCGCGGACAACTTAAAAAAGATTTTGTTAAACCGAGAATGGTGCTAAAAGTCGTCAGGAGACTGCCGCTAAACCAACTGGTTAATACTGTTGTAGTAGACACTTGAGCTCATGCAAGAAATTGGCGCATATTATCTTGTCCGTTGCTGAGCATCCTTTCTATACACAGCTCGTTCTTCTCATCTCGTCAAGTAGGACTAGAAGCAACTGTAGAAGACTTTATGCTCAGGCGACTAAGTTTATAAACTCTGTCTGTCTGTTTTCAACATAGAACTTTGCACCGATGTGCAACAGTTGAAATCACCACACTCCATGTATCACACAAAGCAGTAAAAGAAACGCAAAAGAGAGACAATAGAGAGGGATATGAGACAAAAGGAATAGTAATAACGAAGAACAACATAGTTTTATCGGATATTATAAGTCACCAGGAGTGCGTGCATCTGCGCCATTGAGAACGATTTTGAGCCATATCACCGATTGTCTCCAGTCATTGGTTTTTGCCGTTCCGAGGACCCCAACCAGGTAGTCTACACATTCCTACGTAGCTGGCTTAAACCAACTGGTATGTATTTCATTGGCTGCTGCCATGTTTTAGTTTGACCACCACTAGATCTTTTCTAGCGTGACCCTATGTCAGCTAATATCACCTGTCGGTTGAGGAAGGCTATGACTAGGCACACGTAACACATGTCCTAACCATCTCAATCGATGTGACTTCACAACCTCGTCTATTGATTTCCCCTCACACCTACCTAGCACTCGACCGATGACTAACTTCAATATTGGTCACCCTATTATACCACTTAACACAGGAGATAGAACGCAGGAACCTATGATCAAAGACAGCTAACCTTTTCATGTCTTCCATTCTCAATGACCAGGTCTCACAGTCATGAAGGAGGACGGAGCGGACTGATAAACAGTACACTTGCCCTTTGGTCGATAGCCAGGTATCACGTCTACGCCAGAGACGGCGTAAACTGGCATATGCGAAACTAGCCCTCTGTATCCGTGCGGAGATTTCGTCAGAGATCAACCCGTTGGGGCTGATGGTACTTCCCAAATAAGTAAAGTGGTCAATACGCCCTACCACTTCATTACTTATATCTAGGCTAGGAGTCAGTGTAGTCCAGTCCTGTAACATCGTCTCACTTTTGGCGGGAAAGTGTATAAACTCTATGGTACCTTATTCGGCACATATCTTATGTGATGGGAAAAGTCAAAGACATGTTACCACTAACTTAGTTCGAAACACTTAGCAAATAACTCTTGTTATTCTTTCTTTCATTAATATATCGTTGGTTAATACTTTCACTTGAATTTATTTTCATATTCGTGTTGAACAGTTGTTATGATCTCGTCGCAAGTATGTTATGGTGTCGTTGCCGATATTATGGTGTGACTGAGTATAAATATACGCTAATGAGATATAACAGACGATAACGTAAAGACTGGTACTGCTGAGTACTACATTTGTCCTTACGCGAAGAGGCAAATCAGAAGACCATCACTCTCACGACGATAAGTGCATTTTCCAATAACCAATATTAACTGTCCCACAAGAGTGTGAGTGGAAAAGTACTAAAGAGTACGAAAGGTGTGAAAGTGTGAATTAACTGTACAATACAAGAGTATACATGAAAATGACTAACATACATGAACCGATAATATAGACAGTAGTTTTTTTTACCACGATTGGATTCTGGTTGGTTGAAATGTCATGTCACAAAAGGTCATACATTGTTTATTTAGTTAATGGACAGAGAAGACATTACGAGTTATAATGGGATAATGATCAGTATACACATAGAAAAATATACGAGACTGTCAAAACAAGGTGAGGTTGCTAGCCTCTCTCCCAACCTTCTGTCTTTACTTGGATCACTACCGCCAGAGCAGGGTTTAGGATTCTGCCACTCATAAACTGAATCCGGAGCACGTGCGTGACCACTGAAGCATTATATTACACTGATCAACGCTTATTGTTATTTATTTGTTTAAGGTCAATCCATTATTGAAAGTTCTTAACTCAATGCTACAAGAACGATATGCAGATGATACAGCCGTCGATCAATTCTTGTCCAGTTTACATTTATCTGACGATGATGTTGATAAACCTAGGGAGACTACAAAACAAGATTCAGTAAGTAGTTTGTTTTACATTATATAAAATATCCTTTGTTGAAAAAAGTTCACCTTCCAACTCCTTGATCTTGGGGCTTTCGGGAATCTCAGCATTTATCCGTTCGTATCGTAATCAAATAACGTTACCTGTGTATCTAAATATTTCACCATTCTCACAGTCGAAAATCGCTATCCAGTTTTATTTACTGTACTCGGCACCCTTCATAGCCTTTCTGGAGTGTATTTTAAATACATCAACAAAACGTTCAATCTTACAGGGATTAACGCATTGGAATTCAGTTAACGACCGTACGTTTTAAAGGCAGAAGTCTGAAAAGTGAATATTGTGCATCCTAGTCGATTACGTAATAACAATTTCACGAAGTCCATGTTGACTAAGAAGTCTTTGCACGTCAGTGTCTTTTTTTCACGAGGATTTCCTCAATGAAGATACAATGATTTCAGACCATAGGAATATTAAAAAGACGAATGCAGCGCGATGAAGTCATCAGCTAGGCTATACATTCTTGCAGAGTTAACTTGTTGGTTCTAATTCAGGTTCAAATTATTCGTTCACTGTAGTCATCATAATCATTCTGGATCAAGAATGCATGGTTCAAATAAAATAACACTGTTATAATTCAATCTTATGCCGTATGCACGCTGTAACTAGTAATAGCACATTCTAAACAAGTCGCGGTAATGCACCCGATTTAAATTTACTGCGGCGTAAAGTTTTGGGCGTTGGTAATTGACTAATAGATATTCTTGCTTACGACGCATTCCCAAACCTCGCTTAGCCCTTAGTGAATCTGGTAAAGAGGGAAGGTTCGGAGTGAGGCTAGGAGTCTCACCCTATGACCCACTCAGAACGCAAAGGAATACAAGACATTGTGAAGTTGAATAAACTATCTAGACCAATTGTTAAGATTCGCAGACTCAACTCACAATAATTCATAATATTACAAAAACACCGAATAAGATCTATCAAAGCATAATCTTTAATGTAAACATTTTAAGTTTTACGAAAATTGGAAATAGGACCTCGCGAGAAAGACGACAATAGGTGATTTCATCATAATATGGTCGCCTAGTGATGTTGCTCATCAACCCAAGGAACTGACTTTTATCAAGTACTTCCCGCGTCTTGTTCCTTCCTCAACCTGAGCAACGCGGAGTCCTCTTGTAATAAGTGTGGCCCATAGCCCAAGTCGTCACTCAGCATCGACAACAAAATTCGGATTTTCAATACAAACGTCAAGTCAGTTCTTCTATACTAATCAGAAACTTGGCGGGTGGGTCACAAAGACTATTTCCAACAGCCAGTTGCAGACCTTCATCGACAACTGTCTTCGCTCTATACTGAAGATCAGATGGCCGGGCCGGAAAGAATCACCAACAAGAAACTATGGGAAGAAACAAAACAAGGACCAATCGCCCAACAAATATGCAGGAGAAAGTGGAGATGGATTGGAAATTTGCTGAAGAGGCCACTGGGTGACATTTTATTTATTTATTTATTTTTATTTTTGATTTACAGCTTGATTCCACACTGTATTTTTGGTACAAGTATGGAATTTTCAGCATGGATATCGGTAGCCCAAATTTAGCAGGCCGACCGTAGATATCAGGTGTGCGCCGGCGTGGGCTCGAACCCCGGACCATGTGCATGGTCGGCGAGAGTCCTAACCACTGTGCCACCGAGGCACACATCGCGCCTCAGGCCATTGCTCGAGTGGAACCCGAAAGGGAAGCGACAAGTGGGACGTCAGTGCAAGGGTGACATGGAGGAGGTCGTGTGAAGAGGAGTTGAAACAGTATGGACTAACATGGATGCAGGTGAAAAGTACAGAAGAAGACAGAAGCAAGTGGAGACGTGCAGTTGAAGCCCTATGTTCCACCAGGAACCCAAGGGAACAATAGTAATAATAATGGCCCAAGTCATGATAAATCTGTTCCAGGTAACTGAATTCTAGCTAAACAAATAAGTGAAACCTTATCATTGATTTTATTTTCATTTTAGCCCTATTTGTTTCCTTTTCTAACAAAATTCAACTTTAGGTACTCAAGAGATGTGAACGCACCAGTGACCTTGGTAAATAGCAGTTGTGCTGAAAAGTAAATTCGGCCCCTTAACTGAACCCTAATTCTAAGCTTTCTCTAACTTAGCCCTAATCTTATTCCTAACCTTACCTCTGTGAATTTCCTCTAAAAGGAATTCGCTATGGTAGTCGAACGATTATTAAAACCACACGTTGAGTGACGCGTAGAATCCGAAAACAAGATTTTTATAATCTACGGTACTATATTAAGCATAAAATAAGAAATATAATATACAAGCCTTAATTATGAGGTGTCTGCTGAACGCCGTCAAAAAAGCACAGTCAGTGTGCATCAATAGGTAAAAACAGCAAAGCTGTGTCAACGTGTTTTTTAAACAGAGTGCGAATCCCAGACACAGAATAAAGGGATTCGAATAAACAAGTAACGAGTACATAAATAAAGCTTATACAGCAGATAATGTTCAACTATGAGGAATTAATTACAATACACCAAATAGAGCATTATTACATTGAGTTTTACTTCATAGCAGACAAAGTAATGTTTAAGAAGTAAAAAGTATATTCGTACTACTTACTAGTGGTAAGTAGTATATGTTGTACAAAAAAAGAAAGAAAAGCAAAGGACAGACGAGGAAGGATTAACAACCCTAATATATCGCTAACTACGTCAAACTAACTCTAACCTCTTTTTGGCTAGCCTAGCCTAAAACTAACCAGATATCCTGTTTTATATATATCACTAAACTTTGCTCAACACTTTCTAAAATATAGTATTATTTACCTGGCTTCACTGCTTTGCTCTGGTTGAGCGTTCCAAGATCGCTGATGCGTTTACACCTGGTGAGTGTTTGAAATTTAAATTTGCCTCCTCTCTAGCTTTTTCGATAAAGTCACTGATCACTTAGGTATTATTCTTTCCTCAATCATCTCATAGTTACAATCGTCTTCAAAACCAACTGTTACTAAATCTATTCATCCGATATCTTTTCATCGGTCCACATCAAATGATGAGATAGTTCTAGTGTGCATGACATTCCCAGCACCTCGTGACAGCAGAAGACTACGCAAGTTACTCAATTTACTCGGCGAAATCGGACGAGTTAATTTAGAAAATCAAGAGGAACAGATCTGTGATAGTATGAGACTTCGTATTCGACTGTTCGTTCGACGTGTTATCAGTGTGGTAAGCAGTGTGTGTCTAATTTTCAATTATGATAATTCTTTTGACATTTAAATCTTTTGTGTATTGAATTATATTGATATTGTTTTGCTAAATGGTATAGTTTAGTCGTCATCTGTTCCTTTTTTATTTTATCCCATTAAAACACAAGCTCCATTTTATAGGCACTAAGAGACGTGTGAAGGTTGAGAATCTGCCCGGATGCCCAGACCAAAGTAAATGGTTGTTTTAAGGGGGCACTCTTAAGCGTTTGACTGATCCATAAGGCAGTGAAGCAGCGTCAGGGGTTGTACTAACCAAAACAGGGTCATACGCTGTTGAATTCTTTGGGATTGTGGAGCCCATGTATCAGGTTTTTACGGCTCCGCTAGGTAGACTAGCATGTCCACCGAATCGGTTGTAAGCGCCAGACGTTCTCATTCTCCCTTTCATTATGGTGAGGAACACCCCACTGCTTGAAGACGGTGAATAGGACTTACTTGACAGAGGCTATGAACGAGTAGCCACTTGAGAACATTTCTATAGGAAGTCTATCCATGTTCGACTGTACCAGATTGTTTATGCGTAAGGTAAGGTGATTTAAATATCTTTCTTTGGGACAGCATAAACTGTTTTCTTTGCAAGTTAACTGTCGTTTTAACTGGTTCAAAAATATAAAAGGGAATCCATTTCTGACAATTGTATCACTTCATATTTTACTGTCATCAACAATTGTATCAGCCGTACAGATACACTGAATCCGCATAAATAGGCATTTAACCAATCTTGTCTCTCTCGTGTATTTTTATATGAATACTGTCCGGTCCCAGTAGACTTTCTATAAATCGACAGTTTTATTAAACCATCCTTTCTTCGACTCAATACTACAAGATGTGCAAACACAAAGAATATCAGCAGTCTTCAGTAAATTTGATTAAACTTCAGCATAGAAAGTAAAGAGTTTATATTAGATGCCTACATTTTGTTGTTAGTCATATTAATGCCAAGTGTTTGACCTTAGAAATTGTGTTTTGCAGCAAGTATAGCAAAATTTAGCCAAAAGTACACTTTTAACTATTCTATACAAAGATTCTGTCAACTACATTGACCACAGACGTTTACTGTCTGTCTCCTGTGTTGAGTAGTTATAATATTGAAGTGGGGCGTCGATTGTTAGGTAAGGAGGATAATTCAGTCGACGAGGTTGTACGTGTCTACATCGATTAAAATGGCGAGGATTCATGTACAAGTGTGTAGGCACTGTCTTCCTTGACCAGCAATGGATTAGCTTGGAAAATGGTTAGATGTGCTCAAACCAAAAGCTAAGAGCCAATGGTTTGAGACTGTTGGTGATATGTCTCAAAACTGTTCTCGATGGTGCAGGAGCGTGCACTCCCAGATCCGTTAAGTCCGCATTTTTTCCATGTTACTAATCTTTCTGCTGTATATTTCTATTCATTGTAGTTCTTTTGATGAATATCATTTTTTCTTTTCCTTTGTGACAACTTCAACTGTTTCTTAGCTTAAAGATAAGGACTGAAGTGGTTGGCGGAGCATGTTAACCACTTCACTTATCTGGAAAGTTGCATTAGTCAGCCCCAGTGGGTTGGTCGTTGGCGAAATCTCAGCACGAATACATATGGCTCTCTTGGTATATGCCAACTTACGCCATCTCTGGCTTAATAGACGTGATATCTGGCTGTCGACCAAAGGGCGTGTGTACTCTTTAACACTTCTCTCTGTCCTCCTTTAATGACTGTGAGTGAGACATGGTTATTGAAAATCGAAGAAATGAAAATGCTGTCTTTGATCGTAGGCGCCTACTTTCTATCTCCAATGTTAGGTAGTATTGAGGTTGAGCATCAGTCGAGTGTTAGGTAAGGAGGGAGAATCAATAGACGAAGTTGTGAAGTCACACCGATTGAGATGGTTACGATATGTGTTACGCATGCCTATCCATCGCCTTCCTCAACGACCAATGTTAGCTGACATAAGATTGATCGGGTTGGAAAAGAGCCTGTTGTGGTCAAACCAAGACTTGGCATCAGTCAATGAAATCCGCAAAAGTTAGTTGAAACCAACCACGTAGAGAGGTGTAGACTTCCTGAATGGTTGTGTGGTCCTCAGGATGTGTAAGAACCAATGAAGGCTGGAGACAATTGGTGATATCGCTCAAAATCGTTCTCAATGGCTAGCGCATATGCATTCACTCTTTGTGATTTATAATATCCAATAAATTCCTATTGTTCTTGCATATTGCTATCCGTTTCACCTCATATTTTTGTTTATTATCTGTCTGGCTTTTGAATCTCTGTTTACTGTCTTCTCTTGATTTGTGTACTACATCGAGGGAGAGTGGCAGCTCTAACTGCTGCACATCTGTGAAAAGTCCGACGTTGAGACCAGTCACTCATTCCGTCGACACAAATTGTTGCTATGTAATCTCAATTACCCAGAACAGATTTTTCATGTACGCCAGGCTAAGAGCCACACTTATCGTATGAAGGCTGATGATACTTCTCAACTGCCCCTAAGCTGAAGTAGTTGAAGAGGAACTCGAGCTCGTGACCAGTCGACTGAAAAGCCGAGTACTTAAGCTAATGAGCCACATTTCCAATAGGGTGGTGATGTACTAATGAAAATGAGCATTGGAGCAGGTATCTTGAACAACATTCGCACATATATATTTTTTTCGATGTTTTCAACCAATTAGATTATCGCATTTACTAAGTTTATATTCATTGAGTAATTTTTCAAAGATAAGAATCCTTGGAAGCCAAGAGAAGATTATGAATAACTTGAGGAAAAACAAGGATGGCAGACTTAAACTCACTTTCCATTGTGAAGGTTTTAGAATGGGTGAGTAGTACCGTCAAAGCGCATACCCAATGAAAATTAAAAGGTAAAATTGAAAAGACATTCTGCTCTCTCTCAAAGAAAGATGTCTGACTTACTTTACAGAAGACACAAATATACTGAAATATGTCGTCTGTGGGGGTAACGGGGATGGAGAAATAATCTCACTTTTCACATGAGAGTAAGGAGACATACACTTAGCTACTTTGAAAAGCTCTGAAACCTTTATCAGTGTCCAGGTGGTTAACTGCCAGCTTTTTCAAGACTACAAATAGTTAGCTGTATCCAATTAACTCACAATGATGAATATAACTAACAAAATTGAATAATTTAACAGATTACAAAGCTCGCTAGTGACTTGCTACAGGATGGAGTTTCCTGGAGTTCTAGTGAGAAGTCGTGACCAGTGACGTCCAATTAGATGTCACGTGTGTGGATGGATGTCCCACCAACGACAATGGTTGGAGTCGCGCTAAATCACGAATTGGTAGAAGTTAGAATTCATGATTTGGTCATTGAATCGGGTCCCGGTGAGTGGCTGAATGGTATGCAAGCTTGCCTTGTAACCGGAAGGCCCTGGGTTCGAATCACAGAGGGTGCGTACTGCCGATGATTCCCAAACTAGGATGAAACAGCAGCTGTCCAGTACTCCTTGGTTTTCAATGGTTCTCTTTCTGATATCAATCCGTGATCAACTCGTAAAAAGATTGCAAAGTTCTCTTTCGTTAGATCAGTCGTTAATAACTCTGAACTACAGATCTGTAATTTTCTTTCAGAAACCATTCTGTAACTTTAAATAAATTTGGTAACACTTATGATTTCTACCAACTATTTTTTTATATATTTTCAGCTAGATGAATATAAAAATGAGTCTGTTTATCTTGTTGGTTTTGGCGCGGGAACTCTGCTAATGCTGTTGTCTACTGTGCACATACTGTCTTTGGATTCCCGTTTCGATGGAAATCGAGCAAGTATAGGTGGAGTTATTTGTCTTGGTGTACCATTATTTGGACTGAGGGGTATGAGAGGGGAAATGAATGATCCTCTTTTATCTTTACCTTCCTTGCCAATACTATTTATCTTGGGAGCTGGTAGTCGACTTGGTGGGTATAAGGAGGCCTTAGAATTCCGTAAAAAGTTAGTGGCAGCTCGACAATCTCAAATACTGTCTCGAAATGGAGTTAATTCAATGAATATAGAATATGGTCATAAATCGAAATATCCAATTAATGGATCTACTCATGATTATTCAATTGCATCAACTTTTGATTTACTAGTTGTAGGCGGTGCTGACTTTTTACTTCGAATGCGACCGTCGGCATGCAAACGTTGGTGTACTACACAAGATAGAGTTGACTTTAGAATAGTGGTAAGCTTGATTTATATATATACACCTTTTGTACGCATAAATTTTTCATTCAACGAATTACCTCTTCTTTAGCATTAGCAATCTGATATATCTTTGTGTAATAGTAAAGTGAAAAGTTATGTTTAAACTGATCAAAATGACCTACATTCATGATGTTTAATAACTCTTCTACAAACAGATATTTCCTCTATCTGATGAGTATTTTAATCCAATTCTTGGTACATAAGCAGATATATTTGAAGGTAACATAACGCCGAATAAGCTGACACGTAGAAATTAGGGTTAACAATGTCGAAGATCTCGTCTTCGACTCTTAATTTATTACACCATGTATGAAGGCGAGCCACCGAAAAGAAGAGGAAATGTTTTCTATTCGCTTACCGCTATTATTACTACCGTGGATTCTTGGTAGGATCCATAAGGCATCAACAGCACATCTCTATTTCATCCTGTTCCCTGCAGTCTTCCGGAGCCGGCTGCACACGATTTCCAACATGTCGCCCTCAAACACCCAATTTTTCGTTTCCCATTCGTGTTCTAAGCGAGGGTTTGCCCAGTGGTTGATGTCACCCAACGGTCTCTTCTGTGAATGTACAATCCATCTCTATTTTCCCCGGAATATTTATTGGACAATAGGTTCTTGGCAGCTTTTTTTGAAAGAGTCTCTTGTTGCTAATCCTTTACGGCCGGCTATCTGACCTTCAATATGGAGTCAGCGAAGGTGGTTGTTGATGGAAGTTTCCGGTAGCCTGTTGAGAAAAAGACTTCAGTGACTCGCGTACCGAATCTCTCAAACATATAGAAGCACTGACTTCACATAAGTATTGAAGTTCCAGACATTGTTCCTTGTGCTGTATGCAGTAGATTACCACACTGATTTCAGGGAGATGAAGTTCTGTCTTGCTCCTATCGTGACTTTGATTATTTCCTAACCACGACGTAAACTTGACCCATATTTGAGGAATAAACACTTTTAACTCTGCAGCCATTGAATGAAAATGTTGATTTCAATTTTAGCCGCCTATGCGTCTACATACTCCTCTTAAATCGTGTCCGTAGCACATGCGACAGGTTCCTTCAGCACTTTATGTGATTATTGTTAAGTTCCCCCACAACTTCGATATTTTATCATATCTAATTATAATTTCATGAATAAAGAATGTGTCAAGTTTTGATCACAAATTCACTTTTATTAGACATCCATGAAAACCAGGGATTACTGGACATTCAAGTGTTGGTTTGCACGGATTTGATTGGTTACAGGATTTCATCATGAGCTGACATTAGTTAGAGAACCATTGGAAAACCTGGGAGTACTGGACAGCTGTTTCATCCTAGTTTGGGACTCTTCATCAGTACGCACCCACCACCAGGGTTCGAACCCAGGACCTGGTTACAAGGCGAGCTCGTATGCCATTAAGCCACTGGGACCCGATCCAATGACCCATGAATTCTAACTTCTGCTAATTCACGACATAGCGCGACCCCTAGCCAATGTCTTCGGCGAGTATTTGTCCTCACACTCGACCTGCTGCACTCTACTGGTCAGTTGTTTAGTCCTAGTTTAGAACTGTTCAGCGGTATACATTCATCATCCAACGGTGATCGAACCCAGGGCCTTCAGGTTACAAGGTGACCTTGTTATCCATTCCGTATTTCGCTAATTGATGTCAGGTCGTAGTCAAACTTGAAATCAATCAAATCCCTGCAAAGCCACGCTTGCAAATATATATATATAGACAAGAAAATATATTAATATATATGTTCATGTGATTATCAAACTGTTTCTTTTGTTCTCACAGAAAGCGATCAAAAACTTCATTCACAAGACGAAAATGTTATCAACATCCTCCTCCTCTTCAATGGAATTTATGTTGTCCCCAGCAGCGTCTTCTAGTGGGCGGCCACGATTTGATTTCATTTCAACACATCCATTATAAAAATAAAGTACAATCTCTCTTTCTCCCTAATTCTTTCTAACTTTCAGACTGTAGCCATACATCTGTCGTAAATGAAAATAATCTTGAGACTTATTGAATATGTTAAAATGCCTAAACTTATCATTCTTGTAAATAAAAACAATTCTGAAATAATAATTGCATCATATGAAAGTATGGGTAAAATGGGATTTGATTTCGTCATCTACAGTAATTAACACTTGATTGGATAGTGAGTTCAATTCTTGGCGAAGTCAAAGTATCATAGCCAAAGTCAGGGTCTTTCCAAAGTTGACCTTCTCATGATTATAATGTATTGGCTGTAAATTTCTTCTTTATGGTACCTCATTGTTTATTCCGATCTTTTTATTCTTGGTTTCCACATTCGCGCATTGTTCATATTCTTACCCGGATAACTTCTGATACAGCTTTGCTGTTGTGTTCTTATTGACGCACAGTGACAGTCAATTTGATGACATACAGTGTAAACACTTCACAAATTGAGGTTTCATAATCCTATGTATTGTATTTATGTATAATATAGTATCGTATCTAAGACAAATCCTGGGTTGTGTCCTACACGTAACTCGATCGACCAAAATTATCACTGCGGATTTCTTAGTGGAAATCTACAAGTATGTGATCTAGCACTAGTTTAGTGATCCGGTTCGCCAAATAGCGCACAGCGAAAGTCGTTCCATATCACAGATAAAACTGATATTATGGTAAAAATGACGGTAGATTAGGAATGCATTTGTGGTCTACATCAGTTTAAAACTCGCCTTGTTCATGTATTGATCACAGTTATCAAGCTATTCTTAGGCCACTTTTACTAACCAAGCTGACTTCAGTAAGCACTCAATCCTGGGTCACGGGGTAGCTGTCTTCTCATTTTTCGGGTAAAAGACAACCTACTGTTTTGAATTGTAAGTGCTTCACTTTGTTGCTAACGGAAACTGGTGTGCCTCAAGGCGCTGTACTTTCTCTCTTTGTATTCCTTTTTCCTGCATGACCTTCCATATTCTTCCAAAGCTAACTTCAATAAATATGCCGATGATCTTACCATTTCTGTACCAGTAGTTTCTGTTTTGGATTATTCTTATATGTGAATAGCTTCTAATTTGTAGTTAACAAACGGCCTTCAACTAAATCCACCTAAATATCATATTGTTGATTTTAGTTTCAGATGTGAACTGATTCAGTCGCATGATTAATATAATATTGGCGGCACTGTGATAGGGAGTAAATCGAATATCTCTCATCCTAGTATCAGTTTCTCTTCAAACTCCTGTTGGTCGTCTCACATCCTGTTGATTTCTAAGAATCTTATTTTTCGTTTGACTTATTACATAAAAAGTTGAGAGTTTCTGGCATAACTCAACCTCTTCTGTTTATTTTTGCAGGATGGAGTTGCTAGCCTCATGCCCAACCTTTCCTTTTTACCAGCTTTTTATTTCTGGCTTTGCAAGGTAAAGGAGTGCGTCGGCCAGGGATCGAACCCGAACCATTTGCATGGTCGACGAGCGTTCTAACCGCTGTGCCACGTCTTTTTTAATCCATGTATTCTCCCCATTCTGCTTTGCTGTTCGCCACTATTCTTCCCTGAACATCTCAAAATAAACGTTGTCATATTACATAGAACACTGAAGGCTGTAAGTAGGATTTGTAGTGTTTCTTTGACTCAGCTAACTGACATGATTATCCATAGGCATTTGGTTTCTTACAGGCATTTAGCTAAAGTTGTCTTCCCTGACACTGAACATCCTCTTTATTCACAACTTCTTCGTTGTATATCTTTGAGTAAAACCAAAAGAACACTTGATAGGAGTTTACGCTTGTACAACTAAATATAAAAATTCTACCATACCATAATTAGTACGGGTCTTATGTGAAGAGTCAGATATCAGAAAAAAAGTCTATAAACTTTTAAATCGGTAACTGAACTCCAAAGTATAAGTAAAGATTATTATTGCATGTGTTATCTATGGTATTATTTATTTATAGTTCATTATGGTTCCACCAACATTCCGTTTACAGAGGTTTCACTATTAATATTATGATTATTACCACTTTAAATTTCACGTATATACATATTTATAAAAGGAGCTAAATTGTTGCAGTATGTGTAAAAACGCTGAAAATTCCATTCTGTATACTAATAATTATTTTTTTTAAATATATACACATTTATGTACAGTTTGATAATTACGTTGTCTATTAAAAAAAAAGGAAATTTTTCACCATCTCAGGATTGCTTTACTTGTTGTATTTCAGAAAGTAATTCCTCCCAGTTGAATTTATTCGGTAGCTCCAGTTTAGCTTTATTCATCAACTGTTCATCATACTGTGGACCAGCGGACCAAAGAGACTCTAAATCATATTTTAATCTAGTAGAGGGCATAAATAGATGGAGAAAAATTGTACCTGAAAAAAATAAGGAAGGAAAATTCTCACGTCACATTTTTTATTTCAGTGAGAATGATGATTTCGCTATAGCGACATTACAAACAATTCTGTTCAAACGTTTTCCAAGTGTTTAACTTCCAAACAGTGAGTCACACTATGATAAACATCTGCACAAGAAGCCGACATGTCAACCTGAGACCGAGCACTTCGGTCGAATCAATCGACGGGAAAATCAAAAACTCAATTCAATAACTATGATAACTAGTTTATATCACCGGGTAGTAATCGTTAACTTGATATCTGCTTTCATATCTCAGTACTTCGATGCTTAAACAGGGACGGTTGTGAACAATTCATTCGCATAATGAAATATTAGTCAAGGGTATTTGAATTAATGTGATTGATAAAATATGGGATCTGAATTCAGGGATATGTATAATAATAATAATAATAGTAACAAGAATCAATTCATCCAAGTGTTTATATAATCTGGGCAACGTTGAGTGTACATGTAGAATGTGCATACTAGTAGGGGTAGAGGGGAAAATAACCGTTGTCACATAGCGACTAGATAGTATAATAATGATAAATTGTGGTGAAACCGAGAGTAAAGCGTACAACTACAGCACAGCATGATATTGATAAAATAGTTTGCATTACAAAAATACAATAAGATAATATTTAGAGTTATCCGGTGTCACCGAGACGGATAACTATTCTAGGTGAGGGCGAACACAGAGACTGGGTTGAGAAATTGTTGTGGCTTACTGCCTTAACTTTGCTTAGCAACCGAAGACGTACTAACCGAGAGAGCTGAGCTTATATAAATTGTAAGGGCTGGATTTTAGTCACTCATGTGCTCCGCACCCACTAAGTGTGCCAGTGTGGAACTTCTGACTGACTTTACGACTCCTCTACCTAACCACGTTGGACGATTCTCAAGAAGGCATTAATGGGCTCGCCGAGTTGTTATACTTATGTAACTGTCTCCACATAAACAGTTAAATTTATAAATGCACCTCGAAGTGGGCGAACTCGGTAGCTTACCCTTCACCTACGTTGAAATTACACAATGAGTGGAGGATTTTAAACACAATGTTGCGGCAAACAATGTTTTGGCTATTAATTTTTGATGTCAGCAATTCAATTGCTGGATCTCCCGTAAACGGTTAAATCATGTATGTGCGTTTCTTCCGTTTGCAGGCATTTCACCCTGTTCTTCTCTAAAAGACTTTGTCAAATTTTTGGCATATCTGTTCTCATATAAAACGTTTCCTATTTTCTTTATTTCGTCGTCCAGAGTTTCGGCTGTGCAGATTTTTCTAGCACTACACATCAGGGTACTGATAAGATTTCGTTTGTATTCAAGAGGAACAAACGACTTGAATGGGTATATTGACCAACCTATGACTTCCGGAAAGTACCTCTTTTAATACTGCCGTCTTGTTAGTAGGACACCGAGAAATGATTAGGTGTTATCTTTCTCCTCTTCATATGTAAACTCAATTCGTGGGTGAGCCATACTGAACATTTGGAGGACCTCGATATCGATTTTATTACTATGCAAGATATAAGTTTCGTCCGTATATCTACAGTAGAACGAGAGTTTGTCGATTGCGTATTTGAGCGGATGACTACCTAGTTTTGCCATCAACATATCGGCTATGTGAGGACCTAGAAGGGATCCTATTGATACGCCTCGCACTTGACAGTAAAATCCGTTTTTAAACTGAAACTGCACATTTATCGTACATCGTAGTAGCAGTTACCGTAATGTTTAAGTTGGTATACCTGTAGTGAGAGCTGGATGGAAGTCAAAACCATAGACAACAGTTTACGTCAGTGTTCATGTCCCGAATCAGGGTCATGAGCAAAACAATAGCCAAGCTTAACCTTGAGAGAATTACCAGCCAATCACGGCGACGTTAACGTGTGGAAATACGATTCACAAATATATGATTTTTTTGAGAAACAGCCACAAAGAGATAACAGAATAACCTTCAGTAAGAAAACAACCAATCGTAAGAGGTTGCTTCTCCACCAATAATAATGTACATGAAAATCTATAAATACCTCTTGATTTTCTGAATAAACGATCTGTTGCCTGGCCCTTGTCTTCTGTCGTTACATACCTACGTCTATATCACTTTCTATAAGAGTCGATGGTCTCTAATATGGGGACTGAGGGAGCAGCTATATTGAGAGAACAGAAAGAAGGGCATACATCCGATTTTTTGAACATTTACCGAAAAGCCTACATCTCAAGCGAACAAACGCTTACAATGATGACAATACCAGACATCTCCTTGACAGGGATCATAAGTTGGAAATCGCAAATTCCTACACGATTATCAATGGACAGAAAGCTCAATTCCCTTCAAGTTCGCCGAAACAAGCTCTATCGAAAGCCTGAAACCCGGCATATGTGTCCAGAAAGAAGCAGTTCTCAGTCTTTTTTGCCCATCCTGGTAACTGGATGTCTTCATTCTCTCTTTCATTTGATTACGTTACCCTTGGCTTCAGCCCCACCCCTCTTAATGTAGTGTAATTTTACTTGTCTCTTGTTTTTATGATTTGATTGGAGGATATAATCATGAGCTGACATCAGTTAGACAACAATTGGAAAACTAATAGGGAGTACTGGACAGCCGTTTCGACCTAGCTTGGGACTGCATTAGTTTTAGTACTTTAAAGAGATAGAAATAAACTCGTAACTGGCGCTGTTCTCTATACATTTCTCACTGAAAAAATTAGCTTAGTTGTTAAGTCTATGAGATATTAGCTCGTTTTGAAGTGTTTGTTACCACCCATTTATTGAGTTGACTAATAACTCACCTGAATATTGACCAATCAAAATTCATTGTGATGTAAATATGATTAATTGTAAGACTACCAATAAATTCTTCCTTGAGTAAATGCCAATTGTAATTTACGATAGTGCGATATATTTTTTCATTCTGTTTTGAATACTCTTCTGCCTTTCCAGACCGACACATACTTATTTTAATTAACTACAGTGGGTGTTTAACATTATCAAATGCAGTCAGGAAAATGATTAAGAAGTAATCCAAGGTATACTAGTAACGGCTGGCAGTACTAATCATATCTAGAGAGTATAACAAGATCGACGTAGACTAAAGAATCACTTAACATCAAAGAATACTGAGACAGTTTGTTAGTTCTCATTTGAGATCTTTCTGTAATGCACACTTACGAATGTCTTAGAATACCACGCCAGCAAATTGATATTATCTGATGGATCTAACAGTAAGTATCTTTGGACTTCATGTAAGAGTACAATTCGGACACTGTGGTGGAATATAATATCATATTAAATAAGTTTATTTGGTACAACATACACGCACATTGTGAAATAACGTTAATAAGGGATTGACGTTTCGAGCACAACAAACTGGGCATAATTATATCAGTGTATTCGCACAACTTGCTTTTTATAACCTTAGTCCTTACTGGGGTTTTTTGTGATTTTCCATATATCAGATATTAGAATTGTATCGATTCAACTGCATGTATTGGGTGTTGATTTGACGAACAAACTCTCAATGATTAACCTTTTCTTCTCCCTACATAACTATATTCCTTTTTCAATACTTTTACTATATCTCACTCTATTATGTGATTACATGCAAGTGAATTTATTGCAGTATCTGAGTTTTTCCTAAATTATTTAAATTAGTAGGGTCAACAGTTTAAATCTAGCTATATGTTTTTAACGTTATGATAATCTAAAATTATTAGCTGTGAGACTAATAAAGTGACTAATGATGCTGTAAAACAGAATATATAAAAATGTTTTATAGTAGTGAAGCGAATGCCAAAGATTTTCACTTACTCATATCAACAGCTATCCATTCACAGGATCCATCAACTCCACGAAATAGTGGTATAGGTATATCCGTATCTTTCAGTTTATACTTTAGCTAAATTAAATAGTAAGTATATATACGTATGTAATTAGATAAATGTTTAATATACGCAGACTTATGTGAGAAATATACCCACAAATTTAAAATAAATATTTATGTTACATTGATTGAAGACTAGTCATTCATAGTGACTAGAATAATTCATAACTTAATTATATCAGGTTAGAATTTAGAAAGGTAACATCTGTGCAAATGATTCAACTAATAGTGTTATTTTATTTTTGATTCCACACCGTAGTTTTAGTACAAGTATGGAATTTTCAGCATGGATATCAGTAGCCCAAATTTCGCAGGCCGACCACTGACATCAAGTCTGCGTCGGTAGGGGATCGAACTCCAGACCATGTGCATGGTCGTCGAGAGTTCTAATCACTGTGCTACCGACGCATGTTTTTATTATTATTGCTGATTAGAGTATATATGATTGGTGGCTTTTTGTGAACATGGTCACTTTGTTTCTAACTATTTAGGATGTTTACATGTTCACTGATTGTTGACGATAAGAATAATTAAGACTTAATTACGTACTATATATATATATATATATATATATATATATATATATATATATATATATATATATATATATATATATAACAGTTGACATTTTGTGATTATATTTCCACAAACAAATTCTTCATCCCGTTCCCTATATGTTATATAAGGGATTTATTACTACCGATGTTAGGTTTACATTTGATGAGGGCGATTGTTTCCGCCAGGTTGATGGCGTCGCCATGGAAAGTCCGTTAGGGCCCCTTTTATCAGATTTCTATGCCGTACATTGAGGTTTTATCGAAGGATTTAATCGAAATTGTGTCACTTACGTCTGTAGAAGAGAAAGATAATTTTCAAGTATTGGTTTTGTAGGGATTTTGTTTGATTGTATCTCTCCTAGACATATTGCTTAGTCGACGGCTTGATGGCTTAATAAAACGACCTATTCATAGAAAACCTGGGTGGAGAGGATAGCATCTCTATTTATCACAGTTTCTGTCCTGTTCGATACAAAAAAAGACTTAGTAAGGTGCCTCTTCAGTAGAACCCAATGAATATGCACTGAAGACACACTTGATGAGGAAGAAAGAAAGTCGACAAAAACTCTGGTTGATAACAATTATCCAGACAAGTTCATTAGGAGATATAAAGTAGTCAGAAAACCAGGACCCACTCTTCAACTCGCCCCTAAGAAAGAAGTGTACATCAAGCTACCCTTTATACGGTATCACAGCAGAATGAGTGAACGCTGCTGTTAAAAAGACTTTTTATGCAGCTAATATCATAATAATTGAGAATGTGAAGGCAATATATCTATCTAAGCCCTTTGAACATGCGAAAAATGATATCACATCCCACTGTATTTACCAATTTGAACGTACGTGTGGGCACGCATACATAAGGAGGACTCATTGATGTCTGCAAGAAAGGACTTCAGAGCATATTCCTGAATGGTTCCAGAAGCAAATAGAATCCCCAGAACCCAATAATGGTGGGAACAGGAGACCTAGCTCCTCTATTGCGAAACATATAGAGACGGGACATGAAATTGACGTCCACGCTTCTTTTAAACCTATCCATAAAACGTGATTTGGGCGTATCCTAAAGTTTGTGGAAGCCCTAGCAATTAGAAAGTCTAAACCACCTTTATGCGTGCAAAAACAATTCATCATCATACTAAAGCTACCTTTTTTGGTAGACTTTGTTTTGATACCAGCCAGAGTGGATGTACTATTACCTATGTTATTTGGTTTAGTGGTCTTCATTATTATTTTGACCTTCAGTATGTCCTTTTAACTTGACCTAAATTTATTTTTCACCTCTTAACTCTTTATTAATTTCACATATATTCCAATGGCAAGTCCATGTGTGATCAGATTGTTCGAAATGCGTTGCGCAAATACATTACATGATTCACACAAAATAAGTCTTCTTATTGCTTTGTCTAAATTCATAAAGGGAACTAATTGTTTTAATTATATACATATATATTATTGACAACTGAAGACTGTCGTTTTTAATTTCGAGGAATTTTTTCTACTGAAGTGTAATTATTTTTGAACTTACACTATATGAGTAAATATAACAATAAAGCTTTAATAAAAAATAACAACTTACTAATCTATGTACATATGCTGTAGTACTTTGAATATGTCTTCTGGATAAACCACTTCCGATAACCATATAAGGAGCAACAAAACTTCTACCAATATTCAAACATACAATATCCTGGACATTTTGACGTTTTAGTACTTCAACTAATTCGGGGACATTAAAAAGACCTAGTTAAGAGTTAAATTAAGAATGAAACCTTTCTAATGCATACTTTTCATGCGTAAAAACGGTAGGTGTCCTGTGGGCTGTACTTCATATGATGCATAAACTTGTTCAATAGGTGGGTTTACTTCCCAGTGATCATCATAAACTTCGTAAACTGTATCTTCCTCATCACTTTTAGCAGATGCTTGCGGTATAGATGATTTTGAGTCGATAGACAAATGGTTTGCATACAAGCTACCACATTTTGGCAGGATTCTAGAAATCGTGCTTGACAATGGAGAACGAATATTATTTAGCAGGAACATCTTTACGTGGCTTCTTCGAAATGCGTTTAAATGTCAGTTGTGTCCATAGAAGTGTTGGTAAGTACAACGAATAACGTGTTTGTCCTAAGAACAAAAACAGCTTATGAAAATTAAAAAATCAACACAAAATTTACATCGCATGGTATATTTCACGAAATAAATGAGAGTTAAAGCAACTGCATCGTTGTCTCAAAAACAGAACATCAAAACTATCAATCGGATGCTTGTTATATTGTGGCTCATTGTCACTCGACTTCTTGCCAGTCGTTAAGACGTAATGATCATCCTTCATCTAATTTAGCCTGGGAAAATAGGTCGTGTCACTAGCCATCTCAAAATAGGTGACTGGCATATGAAAAGCCTGATCCTGGTAACAAAGATTATCCCTGCGACTTTGTATGTCGTAAGAAAGTTATTATGCACTCCCACTCAAGACTAGTTTCTCTTGAAACTCCTCCACTCGCAATTTAGCTTAAATACTTTCCACTGTTTGCCAACGCTGAAGATTAAACGTTTCTTTTTCGAATATTTAACCCTTGGGTAATGTAGTCTCTAAATCATTTGATAGAATACAGTTTAGACTTGCGCGTTATCTGATACCATAGTGTACCAGAATAATCAGCATGATACCTTTCCGAGCTATGTGTTGACATCTTACCTATTTGATGAATAGATGACGGTCAGATATAGAAATTTCAATACAAACGGTTACGCCTAAAGCCCTGCTAGAATCTATGGTTCATAGTTTACCTTACTAGCCAATGCAAAATAGGTAGAATTGATCTCAATCCTAGAAGTACCGAAGAATGTGAAGTATCTCCCAAAAACCGAAATTTAGTGTTTCCCTAAAGCGACTGGTGGTAGAATGCATTACCACTCTAATTTACATTATATTCTTATACAGAATTGTTGATGTAGGTCCACATCTTAAGATAATGGTTGGCAAAACAAGAGAACGGGTGATCTTTCTTGAAACATCTGGAACTTAATCATACTTTAGTGAATATCTAGACAATATATCAATTATTTCAATATCTAGACAATTTTAAAAAGCCATGAGGAAAGCAAACCGGTTTCAACGGATATTCAGCAAGATAGAAAACAGGCAATACGACGTAGATTTTATGGCAGAAGAAATAGCTCACTTAGTACTTAATGTTCCAAAGGATGATATCTTAGCTGACGACGGTTTCCTAAATCATCACAGAAAATCAAGGTGACGTATTTAATTATAAAGTTTACACAGACCTTAATAATAGTCTGAATGGGAACAAACCAATAACAGTGCTAAGAACTAGTACTTTTGTTATAAATAGTCTTCCCGAAACACCTGAAACGAGTACTCGTATTAGGTGGGAAAGTTCTTATTTGGCCGTTATTCATTTCAGATCATGAAGTACCGACTACCACCATCACCTGACGACAGCCAGTCAAAAGACGTGAAGCACAGTGATAATCCAGTGTACTGCTTATCATATGTACAAAATACTGAAACATTTGAAGAGAACGTGAGACTCAAAATAAAACGATGGCTATGCTAGTTATTAGGTAAACACCTTGGTCAGCTCAAATACTTCTCTACATTATTAAGATCTTTATAATTTAGGCATGCCAAGTGTCGTTTAAGGTTTATAATTATATCAGCAAAGAGACTCATCGATTGCTGAGTGTATTTTTCGATACTAACTTCCCAAATTTAACTACCTATAAAAGGAATGGAAACATTTGTAACCTATTTAAAAATATGTATGCCGGCCCCAGCCTTCACTTTAACGATAAGTAGAAAGTAATTACTAACATGGCGTATACTAAACCTGCCTCAGATGAAACGCCAAACATCAAGCCTTGGAGGAAACGTTACGAATAAAGTGGAAAGAATCGTGAAATTAACTGAAAAATTGGTTTTGCAATCAGACAAGTACAAAGACTGTTTGCATTTCAAAAGAAGTATTCCAATCACATTTGTTGTACCTTACTCTGGTATTCTGCACATTCTATTATTAATAATGACACAAAGATATGTCTCACTATCACCCAGAAAATGGATATGAACTGTCAACCTAGCTACAGCAAAGCACAGTAGCAAACGGCCTTAACCAACGAAATTTTTCCTGTATACTGTCGTACGTGTGTTCATAAATTGTGATAAAATAAGGATTTCAAACTAGCCTTAATTGAATCATTACAAATTATTAAAAATAATCCCAGCGTGATTAGGAAAAAATCGAAACAAGATTTTTCTGAACGTTTCACTGTGTACGCTACAGCTTCTTCAGCAGAATTATTCGGGTTTCATTATTCATCAGAATATATAGTTTAAAATTTTTTACAGAAAATTAAGTCAGTTTATTTGAAGGTCAATTGTCTTAACTGAAGTTAGATGGAAAACTGAATACAATCTTCAGTTCCTTGAATGCGAGCTACTTGGATTATTTCAAAAATTTGATGTGATAACACCTTTATGAATTTGCGGTGGACGTAACGACATACACTGCCATATACTTCTATCTGGACGTAAAAACAAGGCGAAATGCGTGAAATAAGTCGCAAACTGGAGATAGTTGTGCGCTGAAAGGACAGTCCAGTAAGCAATTCCTTTAAGATCATTGAGGAAAGCGAGATAATTATCCATGTCTGCCCCAAAATTTCTGCAGTGCGCTCGAAGTACTTGCTAGCTGGGATATATCAATCACATGATATATCAAGTGATAGTCTAGACATATATAACTTATATTTTATCGCTATCATTATCATAACCTATTTTTCAAAACAGTGCATATTTTAAGCAGATCACAATAATTCTAATGGGAGCAAGCACAAATAATTGCCAACCAAATGTAAGGTTTGTGAAACGACCTTCAACGACCTTCAGAGTTGAAAGTAGCGCTGATCGTAAAGTAGTAGTGATCTAATTCCATTTCGAGTCAATACTATTTTGAAAAATTTTTCAAAAGATGCTGAGTGTCCTGAATTGACCAGATGTTCAAAATAATATACAGGATTCAATCAAACCTATCAAAGGGAGTGAAATCAAGACATCTGGGCATAGCCGAAGCGATAGCTATACAAAAGCTGAAACTCACCCTTTGTATCCAAAAGAAATACTTCCAACCCCTGTCCCTGCCATGGCCATCATAAACAAGTAATTTTTTAGTAATGAACATCCCATCGCCTTTCTTACCTAAACTTCCTGTTTATTCTTGTTATTTTAAGTTTTTCTTAATCCGTGTTAACACTACCATATTTTCATACCCAAACTTCGTGTTTATTTTGTCATTTTACTATTTCTAGACATTTGATCCCTGATTGCATAAACAATTATTCATCACATTAGTTCTTATCCAAACATCCTGTCTCTTTTGTTATTTCTACATTTCTAACCCCTAATTGCACGATGTCAATCTTCTTAGCTATCATGTTGCTAATTTGTTTGTTGTATCCATCCCCCTGTTTATTATGACATTCTAATTCCTAATTTTAATTTTTACTAATTTGACCCTTGACCGGATATTATTCTGCAACTTTCCCATCCATTTGATATAAATACACGAATGTACAGCCTAGATGATGACTTCGTCGAAAAGAAAATTTTCTTCGCTGCAATTGTCTTCTTTATTAACTCCTATGAAACTAATCAATTGATATCCAATATCGTTTTTACGAGCTAGTATAAACCAATTTGATTTCTTTGTGCTCGCTTCTTGATTGTAAGGTATAGGTTTCTGATCTTCGGTAAACTTCTGCGTAGCTTGTCCCGCCACTCGACTGTCGTAGCTTTGGTTGACTCCAAAGGGAGTAGTGCTGGGATTAATTATATGTGGTTTGTAGTATGAGGTATGTTAAGACTGTTACTACTGTGATCGGAGTTGATCCTTTCGCCTGTTAGTCCTCCGGTATCGTCAACAAGAAAAAAGAGATAGTAATAATAATAATAGATATAATTAGTGAAGTTATTCAGACTAAGATACAGAAACGGAAATAGGAGAGCGTAACAACAGTCAGCTCATTAAGTTTGAAGAATTATATATATATATATATATATATATATATATATATATACGGTAATAATAGTAATAATAATTATAATATTATTAAGTTGTCGGGAGAGTAAGACGGGAGAGAATGTAGAGAAGTAAACGACGATTTTAATTGTCTACCCCTGAATGGTGTATGCGATTTTAAGGGGATAGGCCATTTCGATGCAGTCCTTGTGTCGCTGCATGGTTGTTCAGCCTTCGCTTAAAGGCGTTTAAAGACGATGCCATAGCTACATTTGCCGGTAGGAAATTCCAGGGACGGCAAACCCGCAGTGAAAGTAACTGTGAACGCACCCGGGTCCTTGCCCTCTGGTGAGATATCCTACTGGGATTTCCACTTGGGAGCATATACCTACTCAATGGGAGAACAACTTTGATTGTGTGATTCTGGTCATTTGTTATTATGTAGGCAGTAATCAAATCTCCCCTAAGCCGACGGTAGCTAAGTGTGAACAGGCCTAATTTCTTCAGCCTTTCATCATATGGTTTGTTTCGGAGACCAACCACTCCTTTTGTTGCGCGTCGTCGGACTCCTTCCAAGAGGTTGGAGTCTCTTCTCAGCATTGGGGGTGCAATAATATTATGCACCTCAAGGTGTGGCCTGACGTATGTTTTGTACAACATTAGAAAGAGCTCAGGAGTGAGTGCACCTAACTGTCTATGCGTAAAGTGTATGACCGCATATGCCCTCGCTACATCCCCTGTGTAATTTACGCTTGTGTCCATTTTTTCCTTTAGAACTAGACCTAAGTCGCGTTCCGACGTTGTGTAGGACAAGCTTTCATTGCACAGGGTGTAATTTGCTTTCTGCAGCCTACAGGTACGCAACTTCACTACTTTGCACTTTTTCAAGTTGGATATCATGCCACTGGCCACCGCCCAGTCTTCCAGAAGGTTTAGGTCTTCCTGTAGTCTATCTGAGTCCTCCGGAAACTTTATCGCCCTCCATATCTTTACGTCGTC